GGTTCAAATGCCAACGTAAGCAATCGCCTAAGAAATTTTTAACCAGGACATTTCAGCCAACCAAACCAGATTCCTGTACCAAAGAATCTACTTATTCTGTATAAATTCAAAAAGTTTCAATGTTAACAGTTTTTAATTTTAAAAAAATCCTATCAATGTTTCTTCTGTATATAAGACGAAAAGACTAGACCTGAGATATATCAGACTATTTCAGAAAAACGTATCAGAAGTATAAGTTTTAAATAAGAAATATTCCACTTTGATTAACCGTTTCACTGCTGCAACAACCACTTGCACTCACATGTTTTCTCTTTCGTGATTGGTTCAGACACAATTAGCCCAAAAAGGTTTGACTCGCCCTGCTTATAACCCTGATTATGGACAGTTTATTATAAGAGGGTTTAAATTACGATGTGATAGAGCGTGAATTTCTTTAGCATCGCAACTGAACTGGTATCGCCAGATACAATTTTTGGTTTCTTAAGTACTATTTAGAGTGTTAATATGTGTATGTTACCAATTTTTTGTTCACAAATAATCTAGATCTCTGTATGCGTCTTGATTAAAAAAAAATCAATTGCTACTGCCAATCTATCGACCTATAAAGGTCATCATCAAGGACGAAATAATTACATTTCTTTGAAGATAGACTCAGTCCCAACATTGCCAAGGAGTCAATTTGTAGACCTCTTTAAATAGTTTTTCCTGATGATGCCCTTAAAATAGGCCTAAAGCTCTAACATCATTTATCTCAAAACCTAGAAGACAGATATTCATGGTTCATCAATTGTTTAAAAAAAATTGTAAAGTGCATTTTATACCCGTAATCGGACTATTATTACCATTTAAAAAACAACGTTAACTTATGACAAATAATTTTCCTATTTTGTGTATTTTCTTATAGAAACATTTAATATATTTTTATGACATCCATACGTTTAAAAAGCCACGTTATGTTTGACGTTAAAATCCTTTTAGCTGTTTTTGATATCCTTTTCAATCAGATCAATCATCAGGGCAAAACAACTAAATTTAGACTATAGACTAAGTCCCAACATTGCCAAGGTATGTAACACTATAACAGGACTATATCTTCAAAGAAATTAGAAACCGTTTATTAAAATCTTAATTATGTCAATTTGCAGACTGAGATTAGTTAAGATAGTTTGACCCTGATGATGACCTTAAAAAGGTCCAAAGCTGGGCAGTAACAATTGAATTTGTTTTACATCCAGTCCATACCTTGATCCAGCTTATTCAGATTAAATTGATTAGTTTAGTTTGACAGTTTAGGTTGTTTTAATTGAAAAATTTTCAATAAAGATTTTCTGCTAGTGTAGCTGTTTATATTTTATTTATGGCCTGAAAAACAGTGGACATCGCTGACCATCTGTACTTGCAAATGAAAATTCTTTCTTTAAATTAAATTTTAAAGTTTTAAAAGAACAATACTCCATTTTGTTTAACCACTGCTGCAACAACCACTTGCACTGACACTTTTTCTCTTTCGTGTTTGGCGCAGGTACAATTTAAAAAAACTTTCAACCTGGCTAAGGGTTGTTTATTATGAAAGGTTTTAAGTGCTACAATGTAAAGATAGAGCGAGAATTTTTTCAGCATTGTAGCTGAAGTGGTATCGCCACCAGATCTGATTTTTGGCTTATTACGTACTATTTACAGTGTTAGATGTATCGATCACTTTTCCACTCACGAATAATCTGGATCTTGGTATGGTCTTGATAGAAAAATCATTTGTTACTGGCAATCTATCGACCTATTTTATGCCCATCATCAAGGTTGAACAACTAACTTTCAATGACGTCAGTCTCAGTCTTAACATTGTCAAGGAATTTAACAGAATAACAGGCGTTATAGTCCTTGCTTAGTTATATCAATTTGTAGACATATTGCAGATTGTTTCGCTCTGATGATGACCTTACAATATGTCGGAAACTGAGCAGTAACCACTGAATTTTTTTCATCAAAACATTTCGTGTCTTATTACTATGACAGCTCCAAATCCAATTTTTACATACGTACATACAAAACGTCAAACATCTTTTATTCACAATGGAATTGATTACTAAGGCAGATATTTTGTGAAAAACCTATGCTAAAGAAAAATTCAGATGTATCGGTGGGGGATTCTTCTCTTGGATACTCTTCTGATAACCGATTCACTCGACACTATTTTAAAATAGGATTTTAGCGGGCGACTAGTCACAATTGTGAAAGAAATTACGAAAATTTGGTTCAAAATTATTTAAATTTGTATATTATATGCCAGTGATTCTCAAACTCTGCGACGCGGCGCCCCGACTCGAAAATTTTCTATAAGAAATGCTATTATTATTTTTATATTTATTTAGAAATCGTGAGATGCGGTCTGGTGTGATGTAGGTTTCAGAAAAACACTCTCGACACGACACGCAAGAATNAGCTCAAGTTTAAAGAACATATTTCTTCAATAAAAAATAGATCTATGAAGATTTAGCTATCCGGAATACTATGAATTTAAAAATCCTTTATGTTTTGTCTATCTTTAAAAAGCTTTTGTACAACCCATACTAGAATATGCTACACCTGTTTGTAACCCATTCTATCTAAATTATCAAAAAATTCTTCAATCTGTACAAAACAAATTTTTAAAAAGCCTTTCCTACAAACTCAATCTTCCTCGGAATTATGCCTACCCTGGAATCCGCTCTGAATTTAAACTTTTCGAACTGGCACTAAGAAGGGATTACTTTGATATTGTTTTTGTATTTAAATTGTTAAACAATCTCATTGATAGTCCTTCTCTCCTCTCTCAACTACAGCTATATGTCCCTTCGTACTGTCTTAGAACCTATAAATTATTTTATATTGAATTCCAAAGCTCTAACTACATGCTTTCTTCTCCTCTACACAGAATGATGATCAAGAGTAACAACATCTGCAACAGCATTGACTTCTTCAATAGTTCTGTGCAATCTATGAAAAACCTTATCCTACAACCTTAGTTGAATGCTTTTATATTTCATACTGTACAAAATTATTACAATTAATTAAGGTTTTTAGTTGAGATGAAAAAAAGTTAATGGCACGAGCAGGATTCTAACCCACGATCTTCGGCTAGATACGCCGCTGCTCTACCACCTTTAAAAGGCAAAAAGGAAGGAAAACTCATAAGGTGGGGTTGAGATAGGAAGTTGATGTCCGAGTGGATCGAGGTCACGATAGCTCAAGTGGTACAGCAGCGGCGTATCTAGCCGAAGATCGTGGGTTCGAATCCCACTCGTGCCATTAACTTTTTTTCATCTCAATTTATTTAATTTACTGGTTCAACTAATTCTCGCACTCTAGTCTTATTATATATTTACAAAAAGCATTATTTTCATTAAATATGTACCTAATTATTGTAGTTTCAATTGTCTTTCAGCTTTATTTTGTTTTCTCTGCCTTATTTGGTTAGTAATTATGTCTTTCATTTTTGTTGTTCAGGTTTTACTCTTTAATTGTATTTTTATATTTATCATTTATATTATTACCATGGATATACGTCCTTATTCTTTTTATATATATTATTTGTATTTTTACATATATTATTTATGTTTTTTGTTATTGTAAAATGTCTTTTTTATAGTGGATTTCGATTCGTAAATAAATAAATAAATATATCAATGCTTTTCTGAATTGAAAACGAATTTCTACTATTATCATAAAGTTCACGTTTGGATAGAATATTGTTTTGACTTGGGGAGGAAAAATTCTGATATATTAAGAGCACCGGAAACGGAAAAAGTTTAGGAACCGCTGCTCTGCTATATGGATGTGATGCAAATCGAACTTTGGCCGCCGAAGTCAAGTTTGATCACTGAGCACCTGGAGACATTCTTGCATAATTTGCACTTTTCTCGTATTAGTTCTGTCACTGGACGTGTTTCGATTTATTAGTGAATTTGTTAGGATAAAACAAGTTTCGACATACTTTTTTCGTTAAATGTTAGATATTTTAATCAGGACAGTGCAAGGATGAAAAATTTATAATTGATAGGAGAACGGTTTTAGATTTTTAACTCCTATTTCATTGTGGTCTGATTTCTTCCTGTTTAAACTTACAATATATCGAATTAGAAGACAAATTTTAAAATGATAAATTCGTTGTTTATTCGCGGGACATATAATTTATGCTGATGCCCGACCGCAAAAAACCGGTCGATAAATCATAAAAATAGAATAATTCTGGTCGGTGTCTCATTTTATTTTATTAATTTTTTCCCACTTCTTAGAAGTTTTTGATGGTTAAATCTCGGCTCGATCTGCTGGGGAATTGTCGAAAAAAGAGCCTATAAAATAGATTTGCGCTAGGCGAGAAAAAGCCGCTGGACTAGTCTCTAAAAATTCAACAGATCATCGGATTTAATAGCCGGGTCATGTATAAAATCATACCAATAGATCAACATAAAAACAATCGGTAAGATATTGCTTTAACGACCATATTCAACGAACTTCAGTTTTCGGTTTGGTTTTGGATCCGTCGAAAATTTGTAAAAATTGTAAATGTTCTTTATAAAAAGATAGTTCCTACTTACAATTAATTGTTTAAAACGTCCGGATTTCAAGCTTGAAGGAGTTCTACAACCTGATGATGAGCTATAAACTTGAAATCAGGATTGTTGAAAACAAATGATTTTGAGTAGGAACTATCTTTTTAAAAAGATTGAACAACCCAATCACTCCACCATTTATTTTTTCTATTGTAAATATTTGAATTGTTTTATTTTTAATTAAAACGAACCTTTAAAGTGATATCCAAAGAAGATTAAAATTTGCGTAAACCCTGAGCAGAATGATAATAATCTCATTTTTAAACCGGTTGAATGTAAAAAAATGACCTAGGATTCGATGAGGATGGCTTGGAAAATGTCTCTAGGTCGGAAGTTAAACTTTTTTTCTTGATTCAGATTGCAGACACTGAGATATTAAATCATCGCTGTCAGATAAGGAAACGAACTCACAGGTTGTGATTTTGGTTGATGATGGTGTTGACCAACTGTTGCTGGGGTCGCCGTTGATGTTGCTGATCGGTTTGTTGTTCCTCTCGTACATGTTGTTCAACTTGCTGTCTGATGAAATATTTTTGAACCGGCGCCTTCTGTCTCACTGGAAGGTGGTCGGTGGTCTGGGTTGACTTTGCCGTCTTGACGCCTCCGTAGAGCTGCCTGTAATATTTGTCCTGGTCACCGTAGACCCAGCAGACTTTCCACCACTGGCGGCACATGAGCACATTTGCCGATTGGCCACTTGCGGTCGTCATTTCCTATTCCTACCGGACGGCAACCGAGACCGAGACTGACCGAGAAACGTAGACCGAGTGAGAGCAGAGAGGAAGAGGGAAAAAAGAGCATTTAATGGGCGAAGCCTGCCGAGATCCGCCGACTCCGCTCGAATCGGCGACAACAAACGGATTCGACGGATTTCCTTCTTCCCAACACTCCAACCCTTTGAAAAAAAAATCACTTTTACCAACCGTTTGAATGGTCACATTCCTCCTATTTGACCTTTTTTGGTTAGTCCAATTATTGAAAAATTGATCGTCTGCACCTCGACCGAAAATATTCCTTACAGCCACTGTAACTGTAGTTTTGCCTTTTTTGACTTGTACCTCGGCAACTTTTACTATTTAAAATAAAACTAATTAAACAGGACGAACATCAAGACAGGAACATTCATCGAACACGCAGAGAGAAAAACTAATCAGCTCCTTAAACTAATCTCCTTTAAAATGAATCGTTCTTCATTCCAAGGTACATAGTGTTTTTTGTTATTTTCTAAAAAGTTTGAATATTTTTACTTTGTTAAAAGCCTTAGTGACCGAGGATAATTTTGGTCTTATTTATTTATTTTAAAGCGATTACAACTTGTAGAGGAGTGCTGACAAATACTCAAGATTTGTCTAATGGTTGGATACACGCAATAAAAGAGGGTTACTGCGAAGTCATTCAATTCAACTTTTCAGGCATCAACATTATTTCGGTAAGGACACAGAGTCCTTTATACAGGGTGTTCGGCTACTCGTTACAAACTTTGCCAGCAGATTCTACATTCAAAATGAAACCAAAAAGCCCCAAATAACTATGGTCCGAATCTCAACAGTTTCGCAGTTATTCCACTTTTTCTGATTTTTTAAGATTTCAATACCTCGCTTTAAATAAAACAATGATAACTCCATAATTAAAAGGTTTTCGAAAAATCCGTTGATGCCATTGAAAATTACGTTAAATTTCCAATAAGATGTGATCAATACTAAATTTGTTAACGTTGGTGAAATAAGCGTTTTAGTAGCCAGAACTTTGAATACTTTTTTTTTCAAACGATTAAGGTTTTTATTTGAGATAAAAAAGTCAATGGCACGAGCGGGATTCGAACCCACGATCTTCGGCTAGATACTTCAAATAATTGAATTGAAAAATGGCAAAAAGGAGGGAAAATTCAAAAGGTGGGGTTGAGATGGGAAGTTAGTGTCTGAGTGGATCGAGGTCACGATAGCTCAAGTGGTAGAGCAGCGGCATATCTAGCCGAAAATCATGGGTTCGAATCCCGCTCGTGCCATTGACTTTTTTTATCTCAACTAAAAACCTTAATTAATCGTAATATATTAATTGGTCAAGCGGACCACGAAATTAGTGATTTTTTTTTTCAAAGTTGAAAAACTTACTATGGTGATTCTAAACCTCTATTTCCAAACCAAGAGACCAGCAAATTTCAGAAACGTACTCAATTTGATATCCTTTTGAGTTGTGTAATTGCTTTTTTAATTACTTTTTTCAAAGATGAAGAAATTGGTGAAGGAAGGGAGAAAACCGACGTGTTGGTAAGATGGAAAGATATAATAAAACAATAAAATAAAAATTAAGGAAATTTTGAATGAATTTATTACACTTTTTTTAAAATTTGGGTTCGAAACCAAAATAGTGGAAGTGTTTATTTATTTACCAGCACGTCTGCAATTTTGATTATAGGATTATTGTATTATTGTACTATTATTCCCCGGAATAAAAGAGTTTTAAAATTCAAAAGATTTTTAGTTATCTATGTGATATCTTGTTAACACTATTTTGTAATTTTGAAGCAACGGATCCTGCTGCTGAAAAACTTAAATTTTCGACTTTCAGTGGCTAATAAGAGAAAACTGGCTCGTTTGTGATCTGCGGAGGGCGGAGAGCAATTCGAATCAAAATTAAAAAAGTTTAATAAATTCATTAAAAATTTCCTTAAGTATTTTTTATTATTTTATTATTAATCTTACCACCTTATTAATCCGTCAATACGGTTTTTTCCTTTCCTTCATAAATTTCTTCATCTTTGAAAAAGCTATTATACCACTACAAAGGATATTAAATGGAGTACGTTTTCGAAAATTTGCTGGTCTCTAGATTTGGAAATAGTACTTTAGAATCACCATAGTAAGTTTTTCAACATTAAAAAAAATTCACTAATTTTAAAAAATGGCAAAAGGAGGGAAAACTCAAAAGGTGGGGTTGAGATGGGGAGTTGATGTCCGAGTGGATCGAGGTGGTAGAGGTAGGTAGGTAATAGCTCAGGTGGTAGAGCAGCGGCGTATCTAGCCGAAGGTCGTGGGTTCGAATCCCTCTCGTGCCATTAACTTTTTTTCATCTCAACTAAAAACCTTAATTAATTGTAATTAAAAAAATATTTTTCTAAGTTCTAAATTTAACGTAGTTTTCAATGGTATCAACGGATTTGTCCGAAACCTTTTAATTTTGGAATTATCGTTGTTTATTTGAAGGAAGATCGTGAAATCTTAACAAATCAGAAAAAGGGGAATAACTGCGAAACGGTTGAGATTCGGACCATAGTTTTTTGGGGCTTTTTGGTTTAATTTCTAATGTAGAATCTATTAGCAAAGTTTGCAACACTGAGTAGCCAACACCCTGTATATTTTGCCCCTAATAATAAATCATCCCTCTTGGGATGATGACTTTGTAGGGGACTGTTTGGAGTATATTAACGTTGGTAATATGATAATTATTGTGGACATGAATTGGTACCTCGCAGTCTTTGGAAGCTGTATTCGGCCCGTATTTAAGTAGTTTTAGTTTGTTTCGTTCTTCGATCGAAAATTAAATAACTTTGAGAAAAGATTTTTGGTATTTTGCCACGACAAAGACTTATGTTGAATGGCCGTTCTCTCGGAGAGCACAAAGTAGGCTTCATTTTTATCGGACCAAGTGGTCAATGAGTTAACATTTTTATAACACCATAATTGTCCGACTTGACATCACACTTTCCTCCTGTACCTTAAACTTGGGCGAAGTGTGTCCCAAACCGCGCTTAACATAAATAGAGTTTGGGCACAGGGAAATTTTAGTGAATGCACGGTGGAGCGATGGCCTCAGAGATTTCGATCTCGAAGACAGGGAAAGTCGCGTAGACCTTCCGTTGTAGACGACGACCAACTCAAAACTTTGACTGGAGAAAATTCACGTAAGACAACACGGGACATTGCGGAAGAGCTTAGTGTTGACCACTCAACTGTTTTTCGCCATCTGGACTCTGGAGCAAATTGGTAAAGTAAAGAAGCTCGACAAGTGTGGTTACCGCACAAATAACGGAAAAGCCCAAAGAAATCGTAGCTTTGAAATTTGCACGCTTCTTCTCTTGCGCAAAATGTTCCATTTCTCGATCGAATCATCGTGTGCGTTGAGAAATGGATTTTGTACGATAACAGGAGGTGCACATGACACTGGCTGGACAAGAATGAAGCTCCAAAGCATTTCCCGTAACCACATCTGCACCCAAGAAAAGTTATGGTGACTGTTTGGTGGTGTACTCCTGGTGTTGTTCGCTATAATTTCCTGATTTACGGTGAAACTATCACAGCAGAGAAATATTGCCGAGAAATTGACAAAATGCACGAGAAATTGCATCGTCTTTGTCCAGCGTTGGTAAACCGTAAGGGGCCGATTCTTCTTCAGGATAAAGCCAGGCCACATGTCCCAATGCCAACCCTGCGATGACTTAAGACTTAGGATATTAAACCTTACCACACCCTCCATATCCACCCGACCTTTCGCCTACAGACTTCGGCTTTTTTAGGCATTTTGCTCCTTCTTGAAGGATAAAATTTATAGAGAACGTGGTGAAACTTCCCAAACTTTATTGTGAGTCGAAATTAAGATTTTTATGCCGGCGGAATAAAAACGCTTATTACATGTTGGCAAAGATGTATGGATTGTGATGGAAAATATTTCTAATATATTTTCTTTATTTTATAAAAATTAAAAACAGTTTTGACAGCCATTTTAGAACCTGCATTTTTTTGCATCAGCCCAGTATCAGAACTTATTTATAGTATTGACCAAAAAAATCTTCTAAACTTATTCACAGGAAATCGTTGGAACTAGGTACTGTGGTTCAGAGGTGAGAAAAACAGCTTCTGTGTCTTTTTCTTATTTTAATATTAATTAAACAACCTGAGGTAAGAATGGTTAAGAAAACAGGAGAAAAATCATGAGAATCAGCTAGAGCAGGCTGTCCTCCATAATGGTTTAGTTGCAGACTATAAATTAAGTTCTAAAGGCGTTCAACAGGGCTTGGTTACAGGGCGAATTTAATATATTGCTTTCACAAATGATTTATATGAAAAATTCAAAAATTTACACATCGTTGGGTTTGTGGCCGATAACTCCACATCGTTAAGTTGTGGAAACGTATCTGCTAGCCTAGGACCAAAATGTTTTTGGAGATTGTACACTCCACCACTTCTTGTGAAGTTTTTTCATATTTTTATTTAGCCGTTCTACTTGATCACATCAACTGTGTGAATATATCAATTTATAGCATTTTTGTGTGCACACTGCAATAAAAATATAGTAAAAGCTATCAAAGTATATTTTACAATAATAACCAAAATATTTCTAAAAACGAAACGTTTTTCAAGTAAACTATAATTTTTTTCTTGAAACAAATATGAAATTTTGTTTTAGCCCTCTAGAAGCACCTAAATATAAATTTTTGTTTGAATTTATTATGCTTATTTTGGATTGAAGATGGATTAACTAGATTAGAAGACAATAGGGTTTTTACACTTTGTGCCACTTTTGAACAGCTGTGGATCCACCGCCGCACAGGAATGTGATCTCGTCCCATAAATCGATACGCCGTGTGAATATTAATTTCCTTATTAAGAAAAACTCCAGCTTCGTGGTAGGCGTACATATTTCCTGGATATTATATTGAATTAAACCAAACAACCAAAGCACATAAAATGTTATGTTTATCGCTTTTTGGTACTAATCTTCATCATGCAAATTAAAACCATTGGCACAAGTCAAATGTGTAGCTACTTTACAAATTAAATTCAGAATTTCCTGTTATATAAGACTTTATTGGACTT